GTGGGATAATGCACAGACTGCAAGGTCAGTTTGAACCACAAAGTTGGTGCTTCAAGGTCATCAGCCGCTCCTTGAAAACCCTATACAGGGTCGCTATGAGTTGGAATTGACTCCACGAAACTTAACAACAACAGTCCTTAGTTTTTGTTCTTGTGGAAAATAGATGGCACGGAAATCCCAGTGTGTGCCAAGTTTTCTCTTTCTAGCATGTCAAAAAGTTCACCTAGATGAACTCTTAGACGCTGTCCCCTCTCTAAACTTGGAGATCTAGTAGCGGGCGAATCATCAGAATGTATGCCACAATGCTCTTTGGTGTTTACAGTCATAGGGCATGAAATTGTCCCATTCAGGTGATTTTGATAATTTTGTAAACTAGAACCTGTGTCATTTATCCATGTGACCTTTCTGCAGTCAGGGTAAGCAAAGCTCTGTAAGAAACAAAACATGTTTAAACACGTCTCTGCAGCCAGTGGATGGCTGTAGACAAATTTTCTCGGTAATATACTTGTCTTCATCTCATCAGGTTGCCTTTCCAAAAAATAGTACTTTCTGTGCCATGGGAAAAAATGATTCAGGGCTAATAAAATTTTTTTAAAATAAAACTCACGTGGATATCTTCCCAAATGAGTGGAGTTTTGCAACAAATATACAGCAGTGCTGTCCCACATAAAGCAACAGTTTTTTAGATGAATGAAGCATTTTAAGACTTTCAGAAGACCTCAAAGATGCATCCAAGGAAGAGAGGTCAGCTCAGAAGGTTATGATGACTGTTTTGGGAATCCCAAAAAGATCAACTTGATAGATTTTCTTGAAAGGCACAGGATGATTGGGGGCTGGGGGCTTGTTAGGAAGAAGTTTTAAGAAAATTGAGAACTATATTGGTGAGAATAAGGCCTGGAAAGTTGTACTGAGGAATTATTTCCATCACAACAATGTATCTGCTCATTCTTTTAGGGTAGCAAGGGCTGTGGTCCTACAAGGATTGCATTGGCAAACTTTACTCCATCTACCCTACAACCCTGATCTTGCCTCCTTAAGACTTCTTTTTGTTCCAGAGCTCAGAAGACATTGAAAATTACACGATTTAAGATCTGGTTGTTAAGTGCCGCCGAGTCAGTTCTGACCCATAGTGACCCTGTTTCTGAGGAGTAGCTGGTGAGCTTGAACTGGTGATATTGTGGTTCAAACTGATTTTGCAGTCCAGTACATTAATCCACAGCGTCACACTCCTTGGAGGATGCCCCAAACTGCCATTTTCCCATGGTATAAATTGAACAACACAGAATGTTTCAGGTAAGCGTTGTTGTTGTTATCAAGTGCCATTGAGTTGGTTTCAACTCGTAGTGACTCTGCCCTTCAAACTGACCTTGCAGTCCAGTGCATTAACCTGCAGCACCACACAGAGAAGGGTTAGAGAGATGGAAACACCATTTTCAGAATTGTATAGACCTAAATGGAGTTCTGGTGCGGCACTGTAGGATAAAGCACTAGACTGCAAGGTTTGGTTGAACCACAAGGTCAGCAGTTCAAACTCACCAGCTGTTCCTCGGAAACCCAATATAGGATCGCTATGAGTTGGAACCAACTCGACGGCACTTAGCAGCAACAAGATGGCTATGTTGAGACACAATAGTTTCACATTCTGATATTTTTAATAAAGATATCTAGGATTTTGACTTACCCTCGTATATTTAATGACTTATTTTTACTTTGTTCTTATCATTTATTTTTTTCACTTTTCTAATTACCTCTTTGGATATAAATCATATTATATTTTGCTGTAGAATTTTTTTTTCTTCTTCATTGTAGCAGTGAATGGACAACAAAACGTTTGTCGTTTCAACCAGTTTTACATGTATAACAGCCACGGCAACTGTACTCTGTGAACGTTGTTTTTTAAAAACATTTTAATACTGTTTTGTCTTTTTTTAATAGAGCAAATTAGTTTTCCATTCAGTGATTTATGTACATTTTGTTCCAATTCTCTCAACGTAACAGCGCTTTTTTCTACTTTCTGACTTTGTTTTAGGGTAAATTCTGCTGGTTTGGTCTGTCTCCTTGATTATTCTGAGGAGTTCACCTTACAGGCCTATTGTTGTTTGGTTATAAGGAGATCCAGGGATGGGTTCAGTTCCAGATTTGAAGGGTATCTAAGGACCACAGGCTTGAGCACTCCAGCAGTCTGGTCTTCTTTGTGATTTTGACTTCTGTTCTACTTTTCCCCCGACTGTGCCCAGAACTTCCTGTGGTCCTGATCAGAGCAGTTGGTAGCGTGTCATCTAGTCCTGGTCTCAGGAGCTGTGGGTCACGTGGTCCTCTGGATTAATTATTTCCTTGAGACTTTAATTTCCACTACTCTTCTTTTTTCCTGACAGGAAGAAACCAATAGCTACATCTTAGATGGCTGCTTGCTAGCTACTAAGACCTCAATAGTTACTCACCACAGTGGGATATAGACCACTGACTTTGTGAACTAGGTTATGCTGATTAATTTAGCTATCCCCCTAGACTGTGATCTTAAGCCTGCAGATCTAGTGACTCTCTAGGCATTTGGTTATGGCTAAGAAGTTTTCATAATTTTGTCTGTTGTATTACATACCTGAATATGTTCACAGCACATATAAAACATATAAATACATGCATAGAAATGGATAGCACTGGACTGCTAACCACAAGGTTGGAAGCTCAGCCCACCAGCCAGTTCTTTACAGGGTTGCTTTGAGTCGGAACCATTTTGATGGTACTTAACAACAACCACTTTATGCATAAGGAGTCCTGGTGGGGCAGTGGGTTAAGTGTTGTTGACCACAAGGTTGGTATTTCAGACACACCAGCTGAACTGTAGGAGAAAGATGAGGTTGTCTGCCCCTGTAAAGATTTACAGTCTCAGAAACACTAAGGAGAAATTCTACTTGGTCTTATATAGTTGCTATGAGACACAATTGACTCAGTGATAGTTGGTGGGGAGCCTATCTGTGCCTGTGGGTGTACGTTAGTCCCGTTCACCTCCCCATACCTGTTCAGCTGCATGTCTGCCTATGAATCCACTTGTAGATTACTGTTTGTTGTTACTGATAGTGCAAGATTGTATATGTAATAGTATTTACCTTTGCTGTCTGTAACTCTTATGTTTGTGTCTTCTTGGTGTCTTCCTTTGCTTCTGTGATAATGTGCTGATCTCTCCATTATTGTATATTGCCTTTCCCTTCACCCAAGTGTCTACCTTCTAATCCTGGTGTGGCACTGTAGGATAAGCACTAGACTGCTAACCGCAAGGTTGGTGGTTCAGATCCACCAGCCGTTCCTTGGAAACCCTATACAGTATTGCTACAAGTCAGAACCAACAACAACAACAACAACAACAACAACAACCCTCTAGGTAGTGATTTCCCATCTCTGCCCTTTCCATTCTGGGAACCATCAAAGCATGTTTCTTTCTGTGTGTAAGCTTTCTCTTGACCTTTTATAAGAGTGGTCTCATACAGCATTTGTTCTTTTATAATTAGCATATTTTAATCAGCATAATGCCTTCCACCCCATTTATCCATGTTATGAGGTACTTCTAGGATTTGTCATTTTCTTTAGTGTCACATAGTCATCCATTCTCTGTGTGTACCACAGTGTGTTTATCCATTCATCTGTTGATGGGCACTTAGGTTGTTTCCATCTTTTTGCTGTTATGAATAATGCCACAATGAATATGGGTGTCTTAGCTTTCATTTCTCTAAGATATATACCTAATGCAGCTGCTAGATCAAATGATATTTTTCTTTCCAACTTTTTAAGGAAATGCCATACCATTATCTACAGTGGTTGTACCATTTGACAGTCCCCTAGCAGTGTTGGAGAGTTCTAATCTCTCCACACCTTCAACAGCATTTGTTGTTTTTATGTGTTTTTGACCTTGGAAGCTGTTTTTCCTCCTGTTTATAAGTATCTCATCATCCCTGAGCCAGGGATTTATGTGTGATCCTTACATTTTGATTTTTTTTCCTACTTTAAAATGTTTTTATATTTTTTTATTCTTATCTTTCCTGTTTCCCTCCATGTTTCTGGACTTGTTTTGATTTTGCCCTTTTTCCAAATTTCAGGGTCTTGCTAAAATTGTGATATTGAGATTATAACTAGACCAACCCAACAATAATAATGGCAAAACAACAACAAAATAGCAAATTTGCCATGTTTACTTCCTCCATACAGAACTGCAACATCTCATAGTACTGAGTACTAGGTTTTCAGAAATTAGACTATAGTTGATAAATGATTCTCAGGAACAGTAAAGGGATTTTTCTTTATTTGGAAACAGTGACTTTTAAGAAACAATCTCTCGGAATGAAATGATTGGAGTGAAAAAAATTAAATGCTGTTAGCTGTTGGTGCATGGAGGGGATTGCAAACATATAATGAAGTAAAGCATATGATTTGTTGAATATAAAATTGATGATCTGCTCTGTAAACCTTCACTCAATTCAAAATAAAAAGTTAAAAAGAAAAAAGAAACAATCTTTTCACTTGGATGTGTTTCCCTGAACCAGGAGATTGGCATGTTCGGGCTGGATTTAACGAGTCTCAGAACCTAGAAGGGTGTGATGTTGTAGGATAAGCACTGGATAGCTAACCTCAAAGTTGTTAGTTCAGGCCCACTAGTTGCTCCTCAGAAATCATACAGATTTTCTCTGAGTTGGAATCAACTTGACAACACTTAAAAAGCAACAGAACCTGGAAGGTTTAGACCCTTTCAGAGAGCACTGGGGAATTTCTGAGTGGTCCTAGACTGTTGAAATTACATCAAATTCAAGACACATCACTATTTTTATACAGAAATTATAATGTTGTTAGATTGTTTTGCCCTCTAAGAATTCAAATGGAGTAGAGACAGAATTATTGCAATTTGAGTCAAGCAAATGCAGAATGTAGAGTTTAATGGGACTGGGGAAATGATACTGAATTTTTGGCCTTGGTATTTATTAACTGTTCTTTTTATTTATTTTTTCTATCAGAAATGCCTCTGCCTGTGATGAAATGTCCACTGACCTCAAGGTTTTTGAGAATACTGAAGCGTCCCTACCATTCATCTCATACCTGCAAATTCTAACCTTGTCATCCTCAGGATTGTTAGTGTGCCCTGAGCTGAGTGACTTCACCCATAACAAAACTGACTTGAATATTCAGTGGTACAAGGTACATCTTCATAAACTGACCCTTTATTAAAATGTGTTTTACTAGTCCTATGAAAGTAGGAGTCCTGGTGTGGTGCTGTGGGATAAAGCACTGGACTGCAAGGTCAGTTTGAACCACAAGGTCGGCGGTTCAAATTCACCAGCAGCTCTTCGGCAACCCTACACAGGATTGCTACAAGTTAGGACCTACTCATTGGCACTTAATAACAATGTGAAAGTACAAAATACCTATTTCTGAAGATAAAAATTCCATTTTTATTTCTGTAAAAAAATACTCTAAAAAGAGCCACGTTTAATATATTTTACTAGATGTAATAGAGTCCTGGTGTGATGCTGTAAGATAAGCATTGAATTGCTAACCTCAAGGTTGGCATGTCAAACCCACCAGCTGCTCCTCGAAAACCCTATACACAGTTGCTATGAGTCAGAATTGATTTGAGGCACTTAACAACAACAATGAGAACATCAGCTAGTATTCATAAAGCTAGACCAGTAGTCAGCTAACTGCAGCCTGTGGGCCACATTGAGCTTGCCACTTGTTTTAGTGTAGTCTTAAGCTAAGGTTAGTTTTTATATTTTTTAAACGGCTAAAAAATTTCAAAGAAGAGTAATACCTAATGACGTGTAAAAACCACTTGAAATTCACATTTTAGCTCGCATCCATGCTGTTTTACTGAAACACAGCCATGCTCATTCATACACCTGTAACTCTTGGATGCTTTCACACAACAATTGTAGGTTTTTGTAAATATGACAGAGATCATAAGTCCTGCAAAGCCACATTTACTGTCTGACCCTTATAGAAAAAGTTTGCCAACCTCTGACGTAGACCACAGACTGAAATTGAAAGGCAAAATTATTATCTTTAGTTAATCCTTCAGTCAATAATAGTGCAACCCACTGGCTATTGTAACTACAACTACTTACATATTAATTTAACATTGAAAACGTGGAATCATTTTCTGAAAGTAAAACAGCCAGCTCCTATGCATTAGTTGGCCCAACTGCAGAAGGCATTTGCGCTAGGTTTGTTGTTAAGTGCCGTGGAATCAGTTCTGATTTATAGCGACCCTATGTAGAGTTTCCTGGTGTGGCTGGTGGATTTGAACCACCAACCTTGTGGTTAGCAGTCCATTGCTGATCCTACTGCACCACACCAGGGCTTTGTGATCTTGGTTTACGATGATCAGAATGAGAACAAGTCTAGGGTTTCACAGACCTGGCTTGAAACTATGTTCCATCATTTACCTGCTGTGCAATTTGGGGCCAGTTACTTCATGTCTCACACAGGTTTCCAATTGTTAGGGTTAAATGCTGTCAAGTTGGTTCCAACTCATAGCAACGCTCTACAGGGTTTCTGAGGAGCAGCTGGTGGATTTGAACTTCAGACCTTGTGGTTTGCAGTCCAGTGCTGATCCTACAGTGCCACACTGATTAGTAATCCCCACCACTTGTGGCATCAGAGGTTTGTGACCACTGCAACTGTAAAGCTTGGGTGTTCAAACCCACCCAGCACATCTGCAGAAAAGAGGCCCCCTGATCTGCTTCCATAAAGATTGGTGTTGTTAAGTGCTGTTGAGTCAGTTCCGACTCACAGCGACCCTATACAGAGTTTCTGAGGAGCAGCTGGTAGGTTTGACCCACTGACTTTGTGATTCAAACTGTCCTTGTGGTCCCATGCTTATCCTACAGCGCCACCCCAGAATGCCTCAGTAAAGGTCACTACCAAGAAAAAGCTCTGAACAGTTCTACTCTATATTACGTGGGCTCATGAGTTGGAATGAGTTTGGTTTGTGGATTGTTTTTAAAGATTAAACGAGATAATGTATATGAAGTCCCTATGAGTATCTCTGTTGTAGAGGCTCTCAATAAATAGGGTAAGGATGTTACACTGGAACTTGGTACCATTTGTTCCTTCATAATATTTGTTGTTGTTATGTGCCATGGAGTCGGTTCTGACTCATAGCGACCCTGTACAGGGTTTCCAAGGCTGTAAATCTTTACCGGAGCAAAAAGCCTCATCTTTCCCCCACAGAACAGCTGGTAGTTTCGAACTGCTGACTCTGAGGTTAGCAGCCTGATTTGTAACCAAATAGAGCAAATCTTTATTCAGCATGTGCAATGTGCAAGCCTGTTCTAAACTCTCTGACACGAAACTCAAAGAAGTAGAGACTACCAATATCTCCACTTTAGAGATGACAGATTAGGGAGCAGAGACACAGATGTAAAGAACTTGCACTCAGTCACTCAGCTTTGTGGCCTTGATACAACTTTGTTGCTGGGACCTGATTTATCCTTTTTCATATTTGACCACACCTCCTAAGAAACAAAGATCCCTGGTGGCACAGTGGTTAAAGCACTTCACCACTAACCCAAAGGTTGGTGGTTTCAACCCACTAGCCACACCACGGGAGAAAGATGTGCCAGTCAGCTTCCATGAAGATTTACAGCCTTGGAAATTCTATGCGGCAGCTCTACTCTGAGCCAGCAGCTGCTTGTCGGCAGTGGATTAGAAACAGGGATATTTTTAAATTTTTAATTAAATATATCATGAAGTCAAACTTTATGAGTTGTGTGTCTAACAAACTTTTCAATTACGTCTGTGTTGCCATTGAGAAATAAGATTATGAAATGACTCAGGTTAAATATGACTAATGCAAGCTTTTGATGATCCTGGTTTTGAAAGTAATGTGCCTGAGAACATTGTGTTCTCATTTGGCTGCTTTATCAAAGTCTTGGCTTGTTATAGTTTATTGGAAGCCATGCTCTTGAGGGTTTTAATCTGCAGAGAACCCATAATATCCTTTGTCAATAAGAAAAGAGTGGCCCATTTAGTTTCTTCCTATACATTTTTCTGTCTCTCTATTGACTCCTAAAATGAAAACAATTAGAAAATAATTACTGCAATGTCTTCTTGTCCGTGTGTTGTCATCCAAGTCACTGTGAATACAGAATAGTGCTCTTTACTGGATATTTCCGAAAACCTGTAGGCAGTAGTTAGAATCCCAGTGTGGTACTGTAGGATTAGCATTGGACTCAATGGTCAGTGCAAACTCACCAGCTGCTCCTTGGAGTCAGAAGTGACTTGACAGTATTTAACAGCAACGAAATAGGCAGGAGTTAGGCCACAACTATATTGAATTTTAAATGACCTGTTTTGTCCAGGAAGAGATCATTTTCAAACTTTTAAGGTAATCCAGTAATTTTGTTTTATATGCTAATAAGTTCCTTTGTCTAAAAAAGAATGTAGTTAGAGGCATGGACAAGATTGCTGTTAAGTGCCATCGAGTTGATTATGACCCTATATAGGGTTTCTGAGGCTGTAAGTCTTTACAAGATCAGAAAACTGTATCTTTCTCCCTCCCTGTCCTCCAAGCATCTGGTGGGCTCGAACTGCTGACTTTGTGGTTAGCAGTCCATTGCTTATCCTACAGCACTCCCATGTGCACATGGTACAAAGAATATCAGAGCAATTCTTGGGTTGCAAATTTAATATTGGTTGGCATTATCCATAGCTTTTGAGGTATCTGCTTATGTATATTGCTATTAAGTGCCACAGAGTTGGTTCCAACGCATAGCGACTCTGTATAGGGAGTCCAAGGAGTGGCTGGTGGATTTGAACTGTCAATCTTGTGATTAGAAGTCCAGTGCTCATCCTACAGCATCACACCAGGACTCCATTGATGTATAGAATAACTTAAAACAACTTTTTCCTTCTAGGATTTTGCTCCTCTGGACCAAGACAATAGAAAGTCTCTAAGTTTGGGGGGAACCACTCACTTATTCATATACAATGTGTCTGTAGAAGATGCAGGCTACTATAGCTGTGGTATGATATTCTCCCATAATGGCACACGATACAACATCACAAGGAATATTAAAGTGCGTGTCAACCGTAAGTATTTGCCATCAAGTTGCCTTTGCAGCGGGGTTCAGTAACAAGACTGCAAAGGACCATCAAGGTTCACATAGAATTCCCTAAATATCTGTGGTATGAAGGGTGAAGGAAACAGGTTAAGAAGACTTGTGTGTGGCACTCTGAAAGGTAGAAAGTCATTAGATGGAATGAAAGACTCCTTTGGAAAACCCCATTTGGAAAGCATGCACCTACAGGATAAGCAATCAGCACCCAGTTACCATAACTTTATCTATTATTCTAGGATGCTAGGATTTAATTTAATTTTCCAGTCAGAAGGCTGTGCATTGGCATATCCAATGGAAAGCACCCTCGTTGTCTTCCCGGAGGCATGTCTAGTTGCTTTGCTATCAGGATTTTGTAGGGAGAGCTCTCATTGCTTTAAATGAATTATTCTCAAAATTAATGCTGTTGACAGGGTAGGTTAGTGTTATGAAGTCTGTTTAGCATTTGCTCTCTATCTCCTGACTCCCTAAGAGTAGATGCAAGGGACTCAGAAATGCTTCAGTCTTGGGCTCTGTTGGTAAAGTGTGCTACTTTTCTTGATTAAGAGTGTTCCTTAGTGTGAATAGTTTACCCAATTGGAATTTTTAAAAGAGATTTCAGCGAGCTTTGAAAACACATTGTTAGAGTTAAATAGCTGGTGTATGAGTGAAAAAACAAAAAGCAAAAAAAAAACAACAACAACTAAGCTTTTTCTCACAGAGAATCCAGAGATTCTGTTTTACTACAGGAAAATCATGCCTCCCTTGAACTGAAGTCTCTAGATATTTTATTTGGTGGGAATTCATTCATATCAACTCCCTTCTTCCCCACAGGGCAGTGCCTGGTGGCCACATAATTATCCTATGAGTTTGATACTACCCAGGACCAGTAGGGGGCAGCCAAATTATATATCATCCTGTGTTGCAGATGTGCTATATCTCACTGGCTGTCAAAGAGCCAGCTGCACTGTCAGACTTGCAAAACCTTGGGCTGCAACCCAGACTTACTACATCATGAATTCTGGCATGGGGGTCGGGGTGGAGTAGGAGACAGGAAGCAGCAACTTCTTTTTAACAAGCCTTCCAGGAGATTCTGATACAAGGTCAAGTCTGAGAATCACTTGTGTATCAAGTTCTTGAGGTGCTTTCTCTCCCAGGAGAATTGTGAGCTGCATCTCTTGGTTGGGAATGGCTGAGAAGTGACTGTGAGGGAGGGGAGACTTCTGGCCAAGGATGAGAAACTATATGCTTCCGGGTTTACACTATCATTTGCTTCATGTTTACTCATGTTATTGTTAAGTGCTGTAGAGCTGATTCCTACTCATAGCAACCCTGTGCAGGGTTTCCAAGGAGCAGTTGGTGGGTTTCAATTGCAGACCATGTGGTTTGAAGCCCAGTGTTTATCCTACAGCACCACACGAGGGCAGGGGTCCAGTTAGGATTTCAAAACACTCTTTAGTGTAAAAAGTGAGAAGAGGCTAGTTGTAGAAATGGACAAGCCTATCACTCCAAGTCTTTTTTTGGTCCGTTTCCAGGACCCCATTTCTTCAAACTGCTAGGAACTCTGGTTCTAATCACTTGGGGAGTCACCTCTATTTCCCCAAAGGTTTTACCTAATCAATTAACAAAGACATGAGTGACCAATACTATGTTACCTAGTGTGGAATTACTTTAGCAAACTGGTGGTTTTGAGCCCCTGTGTCTTTTTATCCCCCCTCCAAGATGTAAATCCACAAGAGGTATTTGGGCGTAGTATTTGGAAGTGTGTCTGGGTTGGAGGTCCTAGAAACTCAATATCAAATGCAAGTAGTATTTCAGGGCAAGTTGAACTTGTGTAAAGCTATCTCGTGGATTCTGTGAACTTGCTTTGATGAATGCACTCAGGAAGACTAGAAGGGGGTGGTTGATTGTTTATCACTGAGTCAAGAATATCTGCCAGGGGAATGTGTGTTTGCTGTGACCTCTTCCTGTAATCACTCTGTCGGGAAAGGCATTGGCCAAAGATATTCAATGACCTTGGCCAAAGGTTGACTGTAAGAATGTCTGGCCACACTGATTAATTAGCTAACAATGGAACTTGAGCATGAGTTTGAAATGAAAGTTTTTCTAATTGAGTCACTTTTTCTTTTTCTTTCTTTCTTTCTTTTCTTTTTTTTTTTTATCTTTCTCAGAAAAAGAAGAAGAGCCAATTCCGGTGATAGTGTCCCCCCACCAGACCATATTAGCTTCACTGGGTAAGGCCTGTATGCGCTGTGACCCACAGGGCCTATGGGGTGACTAAAACCACAAAGCACAGGGACTGGGGACCCCTCATCTCTGTTGACTGTGCCTTCTTAGTGAGAAGCATGTGTAGGTCCTAGAAGCCCAAGATCAAATGCAAGGAATGGTCTCTTTATCACACATTGTTGGATACAGCACTGTTTTAAAACAGGTTTACTTTGCTTCATGAGAAACCCTACATACAACACAAATGAAGTATAGAGAGAGATGCTTCATATTCACAGACTTTCTATGATTGCTTTTGGAAAGGAGAACTGGGAGTTTGAAGTGAGAAGGGAGCTATTACATTCCTTGCATGTAATTCTCTGCAATTTAAATATTTTTTCATGTGCCTTTTTCTTTTTCTTTCTTTCTTTCTTTTTTTTTTTATTAAATGTTTTTATTTTGGATTGAGTGAAAGTTTACAGGGCACATCATCAGCTTCACATTCAACCATTCATATAGCTTGTTT